TCTAGTACCTAACAAAGTAGACGAACCGTGAGAGGATCTATCCCGTAGCTTGTTAAGGTCAAGCACGGGCGACCCTTTAGATGTCTTGCGTACACCCTCAGGCACTGCAATAACGAGAGCACTGGTCTTCCATCAATCGATTGCCAAACTGAACAACCTACAAACTTTCAGACACCAAAGAACCGCAATATGCAGTGTCATCCAGAGGACCGAAGGCACTCACACGCTCTCAACAGACAGCGGAGACGACAGACAACCATGAGCTTAGGTACAGCCGAAGAAAAGAATCACAGTCTCCGGCTTATCCGTGGCCTAGCAAGCCTCGCAACGGAACACGATGCAAAAAGCATATGAACTGAATATTTTCCGCTAGAAGGACTGTAAAGATTCCGCCGACCAGTAGCAATCGTCCGCATACGTCGCTAGGCAACGTACTAGGAGACAACTACTCGACCATGTACCCTAGGCCAAGCACCACGCCGCCAATCAGCGGGTTCGTGTAATTCCGCATTCAAAACGCGGGCACAACCGGAAGACAGAGAAGAAGAACAGACTCCGTGATATAAACAAACAACAAATAGCGTGTGCGTTCCATTTTCACTCTCGTCCATCGAAAACATGTCTCGTGCGGTACTGGAGCTATCAGCCATTGGAGTGTTGCTTGCGGAAGACATTCTTCGTGCCTTCTTAAAGCGTTTGTTTACGTCCCTCACTTCTGTTTCGCTTCTCATGCACTGATTCGCTAGCTGAACAGCCAATCAGAGTGATTTATTTGGCCCGACTGCCCGACGGCCGTGTGTCCGGGCCTTAAGCTTTTCTCCAAACAACTAGTCTTTCCCCTGTTTTCCCTCTTTTGCATTCTTGTCCTCTGCCTCCCTCCTGCTCCTCGAGGAACACGTTGTATTTCAGTTTGTACTCCAGGATCAGATATAAAAGCTCCTCCTTCCTGAAGTTGCTGCTCCCTGCAGAGCTGCTGAATGTTTCACAGGATTCAGATGCTGCATGCTCTGCTTATATTTGCATACAATTTGCATGGAGGTGATCACTTTCAGAAAAATTACATCAGCATTGTTTATGTGAAGGGGGTATGGTGGCTATATGGTGGTGTGATTAAAGGTTAGTTGTTGATGTCAAATGTACGGGGGCCGACAGGTGGAAACGCGCTAAAACGTCCAAAACAATTTCCATTCGGAGGAACGTGCTGCACTTTAAAAAACGATGGAAATATAAAAACACAAATGTGCCCAAACTTAAGAAACATTTTCACCAACTTGACAAATATGGGCAGCGTTTACTAAAAAAGCTGCATAATAGGCGCTTTCACACCGCAGTACTTTCCCCACTTTAGTTCCGATATAGTTCCGAAATGTTGTGTTCACACCTTTATACAGTCTGGTTCATACCAAAAAAATCCGGAAC